GATAGATAGATAGATAGATAGATAGATAGATAGATAGATAGATAGATAGATAGATAGATAGATAAGCCAGCCAGCAGCAGTCCTCCAAGTTTCTGTCCTAACTATTCTCTGTGATGGACTGTGGCCTGGGAGTATAAGCCAAATAAACCCTTTCCTCCTCTCATTGCTTCTGGTCATAGCGACAGAATGAAACTAGAACAGGAAAAGGGAGTCGTGGGCTTAGGCAGGCAAAGACAGTACCTCAAGTATGAGGATACCCTGTAAGCAAAGCTGTTTTGTGGGGTCTGTAACCCAGCTCCAGAGCTAGTGAGAAGTGGGTCTGGGTGTCCTTGTGAAACCTTAGACTGCTTTAGATGAGTCATAACTTGCTAAGTGAAGAATCTGACCTCGTTTGAATTACATTTAAGCCATTAGTGAGAGCATTTAAAGAGCATCAGGACTATTTGTGGTAGTGTAGACCCACAATGTCGGCACACGCGAAGCTGTGGCAGGGTTGGTTCAAGGCCAAAGCCTGGGCTATAGAGACCTGTCCCAAATCATTATAATTAGAGATGTTGTTTTAATTCTGGTTCTTCCAAAAAGCAGCGCCTTCGTGGACTCTAATTGTATATGGAGAAATCAGATGGCTTGCTTCTCCTGTGTCTCCAGGGTGTTTTATCTAATAATAATTACTAGAAATTACTTGGCAGCTGTAATTTGTTCTACAGATAAAGTGTAATTAATAAATTTTGAAAACCATGGATTATAAGAACAGAACTTCTAGAAACTGGACATATTTTTTAGACCAGAGACCAAGAAAGAGAAATCCTACAATGTGTCAGTTTGTTTGATTTGGTTAGTTTGGGGAAGCTGGAATTTGTGGATCTGTGTACTTGAAAGGTGCATGCTACATAAAGAAACAGCCTCCAAAGTTTGTTTAAGAGTCATCCCAAGTCTCTGGCTGAAATCTAAAGCTATGTTTGCCTCGACTGAGATTCTAGGAGGTTGGTCAAGGAATGGTGATAGGTTCCTTATCTTCCAGGAATGGAGCTGCCTTAGAAGCCCTGATTTCTCATTCATTGGCTGGGAGCAGCCTAGGACCAGGTAGACTCTCAGTATAGGCAGATGTCAGATCCCAACACAACAACCAGGATACCTGCTGGCATCTGAGTCTGTTTTCCATACAGGTGTAGAGTATAGCTACTTGATGTCAACTAAGACGGGGAAACCCAGAAATCCACAGTCATCGTCTGTGTTCCCCACCATTACAGCTCGCCTCATGGCAGCAATATGCCCACCCTCCTTAATCTACTAGCTACCTTGTCTTCTATTGTCTTTTGTGACAACTCAGCCACTTCTACCTCATGGAGTATTGATCAGTGTTTTTCCTAGCCTTCTGGGAGTGATTCCATCTTTTGGGTTTTTGATAGAGTGATAAGTTCTGTGTCCCATTAAATAACTGGATTGATAACCAGTTTTCTGTTCCAGCTCCCATATTCACGCATGCTCAGAATTCATTCCTGTGGTTCTGTGGCACACAGTGTCTAATTACAACTCTGTGGGTATATAGTGCCCTGCCTTACCAGGTTCAGCATGTCCCCGCCTCACGTACACCCAGTAATCAGCCTGTCAGCCAGGAGAGCACGGCAGACATGTCCTAGGGGTGAGGGAGTACATATTGTACTATGAGCAAAGGTCTCTGAAGCATTCTGTAGCACCGACATCCCAGCTCAGCTTCAAGAACTGTGTAGTGTGGGCATCCTCAGAAGCAACCAGCCGGATGTACCCTTCCCATAGCTCAGGGTCCAGGTACCTCTGACTTTAGTAAGGCAGACCTGTCTTGGTTGTCCCTCTAACTCTGTGATAACTCTATTATCAGTTCCCTGTCCTTCAAATGAAGAATGACTTTGCAAGCTACTAGAGAATTCACGTAGAACCACTAACTGTATAGCACTCCATCATTCATCCATCACCTGTTTACTTCCCGAGGGAGTAAACAGAACCCAGCAGTACTACACATCTGCTGTCCTGGTAGATGTCACTCATCTATGTGGCCCCCGCTCCGTCAGCCCAATGTCGAACACTGGAAATCATCACGGCAAAGCTGCCCATCCAAAGTCTTGTCAGCCTTAAGCCACCCAGAAACAAGAGAGCTTTAGTATTTGTCTTCTCAGGAATGATCAGTTATTGCCTGAGAACAGCTTGGAGGAAATAAGCCTTATCAGGAAATCATGACAATAAATTTCAAAATAAGAAGCTGGGGCTGTTGGTCAGTGACACTCCCCACAGCAATATTAATAACCCTGAGAACATATGCTATTAGTTGCTGTACTGGTATCTATAAATAGAACTGGGCGTAGGGCTACAGAACTGAAGTATCCATTAAATGGACAAACGTGGAAAGAATAACCTTTTAAAAATACTTGGCTTAGTCAGGACAGTGCTTCATGAAGTGAGAAACTGCTGAATTTTGGTAAGAAGGTGTCGTGATAGGTATTGTTTCTCCGCTATACCTCATTTCCCAGTGTGACAGGCAGCAATCAGAGGTCTGCAATCCTTATGTGTCTAGTTGGTGTCCGAGGGCCAGAACAGACCTTGTTTTCAAAACCATGTGTCTTGGTTAGGGCTTTATTTCTGTGATGAGACAGGACAACCATTGATGTTTTCTTTCATTGCTTTCTTTAATTTCAATGTGTCCTAAGTATGTTTGCCAAAAAAAAAATGATATTACAATGTACATGTTAGATGTGCTAATTTCCAGGTGCCTAGAAACAACTAACTTGACTATCAGAAGAGAGCTGGATCTTAGAGTTGTGAATTTGTGAGTCACTGACATGATTATTGAGAATGGAGGAAGTATAGAATAAAAGACCATAGAATACCAACTTGTAAGGAAGATAGAGGAAAAAATGTCAGGCCTCAAAATGGAAAACAAGAAGTAGAGGAAAGAGAATAACCAAGGCCAACGGTTTCGGGGCACAGACCATAGGATTAGACTGTCTCGTGCAGTCAGACTTGAAGTCCGATCACTTGGAAGGTCACAGGGGAGTGAGCGCTGCCGCACGGTGGACGGTGCAGTGCAGAATGGCCAGGGCACCAACAAGCTCTTCCACTGGCCACTTGCTGGTTTCTCTGCTCTCCCGGCCGGCATAACGAGACAGCACACTTCCTGTTATGATAATTCCCTTTTCTCAAAAACAAAGTTTTTCCAGGACCTATAACTTGGAGAAATTTGGGCAAATATTTGACTTACTAGTGAGAACAGCAAAGGGCATGGGCGACGTGGTCTTCAGAGGTATCAAGCCTCATATGGAATGTGTATTTGTTTCAGAGCCTAACAGCTTATATCAAATACTAACAGTCAGTTACCTTGCAAATGAATTGTATACTATCAACCTTTAATATTTTTTTAATTTAAAAACTCATGATGTCTTCTACCACTGCATTTTGCAATGTAAAATAAAGAATGGAGAACAACAAGTTTATCAGCTGTTTTGAGGATCTGGAAAACTGATGATTTTTATCAGTATGAGTCTGCATTCAGGCAAAGCAAAGATAAATCTTTGTGCCTAAAATCTGTTTTAAAGTGTATTTGTGATAGCCTTTTCTCCTGAGCTCTTAAGCTTTTTGTAGAGGCACTTTACTTAAGCTCAAATTTGTTCTCATATGTTGTAGCTTACAGTAAAACCTTTGTAAAGAAAATTCTAGCTCAGTGGTGGTGCACACCTTTAATCCCAGCACTTTCGGAGGCAGAGGCAGGTGGATTTCTGAGTTCCAAGCCAGCCTGGTCTACAGTGTAAGTCCCAGGACAGCGGGGCTATAAAAAAACAAAAAACAAAAAACCTGTCTTGGAAAACAAAAACAAAAACAAAACAAACAAACCAAAAAATGAAAGTTCTGAGAACGATTATGGTCATGGCAAAGAGTACAAAGTAATATCATTTTTAAAATTAGAAATAATTTGTACTGGTCATTTAAGTTAGCTGAGAATATTCAAAACTTACAAATGTGAGATTTTTATAACAATGAGATTGATTTTTTAAACTTCCATCCACTAATTATAGCAGTGCAATTATGTATCAATCACCTTTATCATGCTATATTCTTTATATCCCCACAAATTTCTCTTTAAAAACCAATAAAATGAAAATTCTGAGGATTTCACTTCTAGGTTTTCATCTCCCCACATTTGGCGACGTCTCCTTTGAGTTCCACTCATCCAGAAGTCATACTCACGGTCTCCCGGGCCTCCGTGCTTAGCTCTTCACAGTGTGAGAGCATGTCATATGCTGGAAGATCCTAGTGGGCCAACCCCTCCTTTTGGAAAATATTTTTCCCATCAGAAGAATGCAGACAACACCAAATAAATGCGCAAAACAAACCACATTCCCCCTTTAAGGTTTTGGGCACAAAAATTTGTCTTTGTTTTTGTCTGAGTACAGACTCATATTAATAGAAATCATCAGTTTTCCAGATCCTCAAAACAGCTTGTAAACTGTTCTTCATTCTGAATTTTACATTGCAAAATACAGTGATAGAAAACACCAAGACATTTTAAGTTAAAAAGTAAGTATTAAAGATTGATAGTGTACAGTTCATTTGCAAGCTCATACGGTAATATTAGTATAAGCTAGTAGGTGCTGTTTTGTTCACAACTAACCCACTCTCTCCCCCTTCATCACAGGTTCCAGAGGTTTGAAAAGGCCTTTCTCTTAGCTGTTGACATTGGTGCGCGTGACCTATTTATGGTGAGTCATTTCCAGAGATGATTTCTGTGCCGTTAGAGCTAAGGCTGAGTAAGGTGTTTTGAGCACTAAGGGTTGGTGTCGTTGCAACCTTGGGTGCGTGGCAGGGCAGCGTTACTCCGCCATGCCTTGCGGCACTGCCCTCACGAAGCTGGCCAATAGCAGTCCAGCATCTTGTGACTTGTTGACATTTTCCTAGCCAGAGCCAAAGGACCTTTTATGCTTTCAAAGCATTTATGACTCTTGAACTTTTCTCTCCATGAACCTTGACATGCAAGATGGACACCACTCCATCTATTAAGATTAAATGTCTTTCTAATTCATGCTCTGAGCAAGTCTGCAGCTGCAGAAGTCAGGAAACCGGAAAGTGTGTCCCTGAGGTATGAACACATTGTTGGACTTCCAGGTTTCAGGGTGAAGTAAAAAAATATGAATGCATTATGTATGTTTCGGCATAACTAGAGAGAAAAGTGCGTCTACAGGTGTGAGTCCACCGTACTTTTGCTCTGCCATTTGTCTCTTGCCCAGCAGTGTCGTCACCCAGCTTCTTAGAGACACTGTGCTCTGTCAGGTTCCTGTCTGGTTTTGAGATTGTAATTCATTACAATGCTTCTCTCTTCCCTTTCCTCCCTCTAAACCCTCCCATCTACTCCTCCTGACTCTGGGTTCCTGTCCTATGAGAACTTTCAATCTAGCAGGTCAGACAAACAAAGTAGCAAGTCCATTAACATCAAAGAAACAGTAAAACAAAAGTTTGTCTTGGTCTTTTGCACTGTGAAGACCCTGTCACGAAGTGTTGCTGTTCCCCTGCATATTGTGTTTATCACATTTGGTCATTTGTGTTTCCATTAAATTTGGGATTAAAATTCTAAATTACAGATCACAAAATTTAAATTGCATATTCTCAAATCAATTTACATACGTTAATCATAAAAAATAGTAATTGTTTTCAAAAGCATAAACATCGTATTTGCCATCTTCATTTTGCTTTCTACTTGGGTGGGCATGTTAGTATACTGAGAAAGGTTTACTGTTTTCATCAAGATCCATCCTGCAGATACCACAATGTCAGAGCTTCAACTAGGACCTTACCTATCTTTCTTCCTTTTCTCTGTCTTCTTACCTGCTTGATATTCCAATAGAGATATATGGGCCTCCTGTCTCCCCTTCCTCTCCCATTCCCCCACTGCTTCCCACTCCATCTCTTCCTCCTCCACCTCCTTAAAAGCATTATCAAAATGTAGCTCTGACAGGCCTGAGACTCATTCTGTAGACCTGAGGCTGAGATTAAAGGCATCAGCCCTTATTTCTTGTTTTATGTCTGTAGTTCCCCCCCCCCTTTTTTTTTTACAGGTGAGAACTGTGATTAGAATTGCAATGTTTTTTTGCTGGGCAAAATTTCCTTCTAAAAACATTATATTCTGTAATTTACTGCTTTGGTAATTAATAAACATAATTACCAAAAATACCCCCTAACATATTTTTATATTTGCTTCAGCATTTTAATCTGTTTAACCAAGTACCAATTTAGAGAAAGTCTTTGTGTTCGTTCAAATCTCCTTAATCCAAGTAGATTTTTCTGCTGATGGGTTAAAATAAGAGGAGTGTATGACTAGACTTTCAGATTTGGAAAAGTACAGACACTATTCAGAGTGCCACATCTTCACTCTTCGTCTAAGACATTGCCTTTAGCCAAGGTCTATTTTAAGGGATCTCAAAATATAGAGTGCTGAGACCTCAGTGTTTAAGTTTATGGAAGTGCTTTGTACATTTGAGACTTGATGTTGAAATTATCTAAAAGGATGTATCATGTTTTCTTATAGATTGATTCTTACTGTTTAAATTTCATCTGACCAGAGGTTCATAGCCTATATTCTAAGAAATATTACTTCTTTTGAAAAATGAAAGTTTATAAAATAAGCAGGATTATCTCTACTTGCAAAGGATTTATTATCCGTAAGCCATCTCCTCCTTAAAGATTAAAAATAATACCAAAGGGACCACAAAAAAAGAAGTCTGTCTGTCTGGGGACATGGCTCAGTGGGAAAAGTCAAGCATGTGTGAGCTCCTGAGTTTGATCTCCACCACTCATTAACCAGGTATGGTGGCACAACCTATAATCCCACCACTTGTGAGGCGGAGGCAGGAGGACCAGAAGTCAAACTCAGCCTTGGTTTACAAAGCAGTGTGGAAGTCTGGGCTACATGAAACTGTCTCAAAAACAAACAAACGAACAAAAAAATAAAACAAAACCCCAAATCAACAACAACAAAAAGAATCAGTTAACCTGAAAATGGTGTTCTCATGTTAGCATCTGTTTGTGCTAAACAGACTCAGGGTATACCACATGACAAGAAAGGGGATGTGGCTGGAAACAGGAGCCTGACACCAGAGAGGCCTTAAGTGAACTAGGCAATTAGACTTTCTCTTTAAAGCTGCAGGGGCTGTCTCTGGCATGAACTCAGTGGCAGGCTCTCTGATCACCTCCCCTTAGGGGGGTGCAGCCTTTGTAGGCCACAGAGGAAGATGATACATCCCATCCTGAGGAGACCTGATAAGCGAGGGTCAGATGGGAGGAGAGGAGGACCTCTCCTATCCTGGACTTGGGAAAGGGCATGGGAAGAGAAGAGGGAGGGAGGGTGGGATTGGGAGGGGACAAGGGAGAAAGCCACAGCCAGATACAATGTGAATAAATTGTAATAAATGATAATAATTAATAAAAAGAGAAAAAGCTGTGGGGGACCTGACAGAGGCTTTGAATCAGAAGAGTGACACTATCGTAACTTTGAGCAGGGGTCTACAAGCCATTTCTGGAAAGGACTAGGTAGCAAACATTTTTTTTTTTGCAAATCTTACAGTTACTGTGCAGCTCGTCACCACGGCCATCAGAGTGAAGGCAGCCACAGCAGTGTGCAGTGAGTGTGTGCTCCAGTAAAGCTTCATTTACAACAATCTGAGTATAATAAAATTCTTAAGGGTCACATTTAAAACCGTGATTTTCCCCCAAATTCTTTAAGCTAGAAAAGAAAAGCATCTTTGTTTCCTTTAGTAACATTTGGTTGCGTGCCATAGTTTGCCGACTCCTAATTTGGATGGAGAGCTGAGGCTGCAGGAGAATGAAGCCAGCTTCAGGGTCAAGGATTAAAGTAGAAGTGGGTCACTGCAGGTCCGCCTCCTCAGACCAGTATCTTAATATTGACTTTTTAAAAACAATATCCGGAGCCTGTTGGTTCAGTTCCAAACTCTTCTATTGGGTATGTGGGTTCTGAATAGTTTACCTAGCCCTGTTTGCCTTCATTTTATTGTATGTAAAGTGGTAACAATGCATAAATTGCCAAAGTGTCTGGCATACTGTAATGACTTGGAAACTCGAGTTTCTAGCATGTTTTTCCCATTACTCACTTTAAAAATCTTTGTATAGTATTTACTTTTAAGGTGTGTGTGTGTGTGTGTGTGTGTGTGTGTGTGTGTGTGTGTGTGTG